ACACACACAGGAACAAATTCATCACAGCCAGCTACAAACACCTGCTTTCACATCCTGGCACAGCAAAAAACCTTGTAATGTCCCTGAATCAGTTATTGAGGCAGAGGTGTACAGAATGATTCCCACAGACTATTGTCCTGTTATTTCCGTGTTGGTCTGAGGACCATCTGTCAGACTGTAGAGACAGGTGGAGATCCAAGTCCATCCAAAAGGCTGGAAATTCATCTGAGGAGAACTACTCTTTAAAAAAGAGGTTCATCATCAAAGCGCTATATAAATACAACCATTTACCATTTACATCAAAACAAAATCAATGAGCACTTCATTAGGAACCCCATCTTAACACCATTTGCTTGTAATTTGTGTCATGATTCCACAGTATGTTGGAAACTTTCCTTCTATTCCATATTGACATGACTGTATCCCATCATTTGAGCAGATTTGTCACCTGTTCTACCACTGTCACGGAATCTTACACTTCTTAATGTTAGAAGTAAAATATGCAGACATCAAATTTCGAGTGGACAGGACAAGATGGCCTGGCAGACACATCTCAAGGTAAAGACAGCATGTAAATCAGCATTAGTTTAGCAATAAATAATATGTGACTCAACCAGCAGTTGTAAACTGATATTTCCCTTTCCCTGAGCTCCCTTGCACAACTCATGTAGTTAAATGTAATGTTACATTACATTACATTTCATTTAGCTGACGCTTTTATTAAGTGACTTACAATAAGTGCATTCAACCATGAGGGGACAAACCCAGAAGAGCAAGAATCATTTTAGTAGATTAGCTTAAAAAAGCAAAAAAAAAACTACAAGTGCTACATGAAACTGCAATATATAAGTGCAACAAAAGACAACATTGGTTATTAGACATCATCTTCTTAACCAAAGTGTAGTTGGAAGAGTTGCGTTTCAGCTTATGGAAATGTAGGGCTCGCTCCACCATTTGGGAGCCAGGAAAGCAAAATGTTGTGATTTAATGTGACACCATGTGCAGGTGCTTAATTAAACTTACCAAAAGACCAGCGATTACTTTGCTCTTTATTATAGAGAAATTTCTTCCACATCACGTCACAAAGGTTTTCTACTGGATTCACATCTGGTGACTGGGGAAGGTCACTGCTTAATGAAAATATACATACATATCACTTTTTAGCACTTGATTATATGTGTGTGGATGTGCCCAGGCTGGAATCATGGGGCATTGTCTGATATTTATAAATCCTGTCACTGCTCTTGCTTTGGTCTTTCAGATTGAATGATTCACCCCTTAGTCTCAACCAACTTTAGTGAACCTCCCCTACATAGTGAACTCACTGTCATGGTCATGAAACCTGTTTAAGATTACTAAATGACATGTGGCAGTGTAACATTTGTATTGATTTTAAACAAACTGAAGCCAGACTACACAAAAACAAAACACAATATGCCAATCCTGTAGCCTGCATTGCAAATGTAGCCTTGGCAACTTTCATGCTGTTTGTTTTAGGTGTCACAAGACAGCAAACAGGGGAAGCAGTAAAAGACATGACTTACACCACATCAAGTTTGTCAACTCTATTTCTCATAACATGAGCAGGAGATGCTCCGGGTGAAAGCTGGTTCTCATCACCTGCTGCTGAATCTGTAAATCAGGTAGATCTGGACGAAGCTCCTTTATCCTCTTTTTGTCTTGTTGGGATGTTAAGGGAACATTTCAAGGGATAGTTCACCCAAAAATGAAAAATCATCATTATCTACTCTCCACTATGCCGCTGGAGGCGTGGGTGAAGTGTTCGAGTCCACTTAACACTTATGGAGTCTCAGGGGTAAGTGTTGCAACCAAATCCAATACAAGTAACTGGGGACTCCATCTTCTGACATAATAAAACAACAAAAAATGTCTCCATACTGCTCATGTGGTGTCATCCAAGTGTCTATAAGCCCAGATGTTCAAATTCAACTAGAAACAGCATCATTTACACCATGTGAGAGCTTGTGTGCAGTGTGTGCAACGTGTACAGAGTGTGCATGTGGACATGCGATCTTCATTTAAATGGGACGTCACACTTGTACAGTAAAGTAATATTGGGATAACAAATTGATACATTCATAAAGGAAAATACTGAAAAAATATTGAACTGTATGAAGTAATGAATAACAAATACAATTAATGATTTAAAAAAATATATTACGACTGCCCATGAAACTATTAATGAGAAAAAGACAAGTGTGAAGTCCTATTTACAAGCTCGCCTTTTATTTAGAAATCACTCTGACATGCTCGCCTGTAATGTAATGTTTGGAGAAAATGCAAACTGGGGAATGAGTGGAGGCGGACTTGACCGCAGTCCAGGCCTCCAAGCAGGCTGGATGACAAGAGGGTTCACTCTGTGCTCGGTCTCAGCACCTGGGGGCGTTTGTTGCGGAATGAACGGAGTGAACCCTCTTGTCAGTCATCCAGCCTCTTTGTCTCTGTGGGGGGAGGCGGGACCGCTAGCATTAGCTACACATGCTACACACACAGAGTGCAGCGAGTGAGCGTCGTGCGGAGCAACGCGAGGAGAAAAGACGATTGCAAAGTCAAATGCCACAGCCCTGGTGTGGGAATGTTTCGGCTCCAAACCGAATGAGCAAGGTTAGCCCATCAACACAGACGAGCCAGTTCAAAAGTGGTGGCAACGAAAAAAGGCAACCCAACAAAGTTGCATGCCCACCTAAAGCATCACCACCCGACCCAGTGTTCCCAGCTGGGGAAACAAAGTGCACCTCGAGATGCAGAGCCTTCGTCCCGACAGTCAACACTCACTGATGCGTTCGGTCGACAAAGTAAATATAAACGGAACAGCGCAAAATGGTGTGCGCTCATTGAAAGTGAAGTTCGCTACATCGCTAAAGATAAAAAACACTGAGAAATGAAAGTTTATTGTATTTCAAAGGGTGTCATTATTATGACATATTGTCATGTTGACAATAATATAGTTTATCGGCAATAATTTGTGTGACAATATATCGTCTAGCAAAATTTGTTATCGTCCCAGGCCTACTCTGACCCCAGCTTTCAATTGTGGTCCGATACGGGAATCAAAACCCCTAATGATTTATACAGTAATGGGACTTTGTCGTCGTTTTCATACTTGTCTGACAGAGCCTCATGTCAACCATATGCAACAACATTGATTCTATAAAGCCTAAAGCTCTTAAAGGGATAGTTCACCCAAAAATGAATATTCAATCCTTATATACTCACCACTATACCGATGGAGGGCTGGGTGAAAAGTGTTTGAGTCCACAAAACACTTCTGGAGTTTCAGGGGTAAACAGTGTTACAGCCAAATACAATATAAGTAACTCGGGACCACTTCTTCAAACATTAAAAAAAAAAACGTAAAAAAACTGAAAATGCCTCCATACTGCTCCTGTGGTGTCAACCAAGTGTCTGTAAGCCCAGACATTCAAATTCGACTCGAAAAGGCATTACTTACACCATGTTTTTGGCTTAAATGTTCGCTGTTATCGTCCCCCGCAACCAAGTTCACGTTTCCAATAGCTTGTGCAGGGTGTGTGAGCTTGTCTCTCTGCTTGTGTTACTTTCGCCTTATCATGTTTATTATGTCTTTCTTTCCTCTGCAGCTGGTAGGCGTTAGAAGAGAGGGAGGGAGGGAGGGTGGAAGGGGACGTACACTAATAATGCATGATTTATTTACTTTCTCTGAATTATGTTGATCCTTTACAAAACTTAATAAAAAGATTCGCGAAGCAGAAGAATACAAATGAAATATTTAATAGAAAAAAATAACACTAGTTAAAAAAAGATATATATATATAAACAGGGCATATATGTATACTTGAGACATGCTGAAATATTTCTGGACATGAACATTGTCAAACACCAACATTCCAACTGTAACAATGCAAAAAGCAAAGTCCAAATAGCTGTCTAATGTTTGAATCAAATACTGAGTTTACTTGCTCTTACATGAAGTGTTTTTCCTTCTTATTTAAATGAATTCAAGTTAGTGGACTACGACTTGTCTGCAGTTCATTTCAATATGTCCTAAAATTATTCTTTAGCCCAGTATGCACAGGGCTCATACAGTTTACTGCAGGCATGTGCTACATTTCCACTCTACTTGGTCATTGCATTGGTCACAACTACATGCAGGTCTGAAAAGGTTTATTTCTTTTGTATCATTCATTTGTGAGAACCACCTGAGTACAGATGCAGTCACCTTTCTGTCCAACAAGTTCTTTCCAGCAGACCCCCTTCATTCCCATCGATAACATCATGACATTCACTCACACAAACCCCATCATAATGTGAAGTACTTGGTGTCTGCCCGCCTCGTCATCTGTTCCATCCGTCAGTGTATCACTGTATTAAACGGTAGAAGACCCAACAGGCAAAAACCACCCAGTGGCTCGCCCAGCTCAGTTCTGACCACCTCTGGATGGTGTGGATGGCTGCGTAACCCTGCAAACAGGAGTGACAATCACATGTGGATAGAATATTTAACACAGAAGACCCTCTTTCAGTTTGATCATGTGCCTTCAAACATAGTGAGACTTCTATATTGTAAATTCTCAAATAGCTGCCTAAACTGCAGCTTGGTTATATCAGGCAAATGTAAACTGTTGATCACTATATGTGGTTTCCACATTTTTCCAGTGTTAAGAACCACTCAAAGCACTGTACACTACAAGTCGCAATCCTTCATTCACATACATATTCATATAACGTTTCTATATATACTTGACGACCCACTTTACCTTCTGAGCCAAAGCCTGTCCATATGTGTGTGTGTGTGTTTGGAACAGCAGATCCCAGTCAGAGCAAGCCTCCAGTAATATAGTTTACTAATGCTACACAAATCTTAGCGAGGTAATAAAAGGTGAAGAGACACTTGGGTCTAAAATGCAACAATGCCAAGATCAAGTCAAGATCAATGAAGGTGCATGCAGAAGAAAAAAAAAGATGGAAAATGATGGACTGCACTGATATCAAGACAAGTAAGTTCCTCACAATACATGGAGGGTTTCACCCAAAATCCAAAACTCTAAGACTAAGCTACACTAAGCTACTCCTAAGTATGAAACATCTAAGATACAGGAGTACATCAGGAAAATGGCCCCAAGTGATGATCTGCCAACTGAACACCTCAGACAGCAGAAACCTAATGATGATGAGGAAAAAGAGGAAGAAGAGGAAAGTTCATGGACAAAGAAGCCCCTGCACTTCATGTATCATCAACAGGTAAAAGAAGTGTATGATATTGAAAAATCATACCAGTGGCTGGAAAAGGCTTATCTCAAAGACAGCACAGAGGCACTAACTACAGCACAATCAGTGCAGGTGGAGCTCGCCCGCTGCTTTGGGACTGACTACCTGAGGAGATAAGGCTGGATGGAGTGAGTGACTTATCTTAAATAACTTCTTAAAACCCATCTTTATAGTCATGTGATGTCTTCTTTTATTGTCTATTTTATCATCTTTTATTTTATCTATTTTAATTGTCCTTTTGCAGTTTTTGTGTGATCAAGTTTTTATGTGACATAGACTTTATTTAATGAACACTACTTTGTTTTTGACCAGCTCAACGTTGTCTGGCTTTTTGGTCACATTATTTGTTACTTCTCTAGTTTTTGCTTTGCTGTCAAAGCTTTTTGTAAACTCTGTTTTTAAAGGTGCTATATAAATTATAAAATTATTATTGTTTTAAGGTCTACCACACCAGATAGGACCCCAGGTGCAGGCTGTTCAAATATGCCCCAAAGATGAGACAGTCCAGCACATAACAGCAGGGAGTAAGATCCAGGCAGGTATGGCTTATATGGAATGCTATAACTAAGTGGCTGGCATAGTGTACAGTAACATCTGCACGGAGTTTGAGCTGGAAGTCGAAGGTCAAAACAGAAAAAGACACATCCCAAGGTGGTTGAGAATGACAGACTTAAGAACATGTGGAACCTCCCGATCCAGCTCAATAAAAAAATGGTGATGGCTAACCCATCATGGTGGTCGACAGACAGCTGAAGGTGGTGGTGATGTAGAGATCCCAAGCGATACAACATCAAGAGGGAGGAACACGAGAAACTTAAAAAATACTAAATGCTGAACGAGGAACTAGAGAAGATGGAAAGTGAAGGCAAGGTAATAATCTGAGCACTCTGGGCTGTAACCCTACTAACTAGGAGCTAGTAGCTATGGGATATGGTCCCAGAGTTGTAGTCATATATGAATATATAAAATGGTGTGTGCTCTTACCTCATCTAACTCATGTTCATCAACTCCAGGATCAAACATAGATCCCAGGTACGTGAGGTGGAAGATTGCCAGGAGGCTGAAAACCAGGTTCAATGCCACAACCCAATACTCCTATGGCCAAGAACAAAAAGAAAAAAGTGTGAAACAGCCACAAGAATGTATTTTTATTCTGTTCTATTTAATAAACTGCGATCAGCTTATCATTTCTCCACACCGCTCAGTTACAAAAACAGTTGACAGGCGGTAATAAAGTGATGTTACAGAGTGATGTCCTTTCACTCACAAACAACCATCTGTTGGACAAAGCATAATAACCAATAGAAGTGTCACTGGACATATAACATTATCAATTCATGTTGCCTGCTCTATTTCTACATCTTCTTTGATAATAAAATAATGAGGAGTGATCTTAAGTTCAGTAAGTTCAGATGCTAATGGGTGCTTTAAAGTACTTTGCAAACAGAGAACCGAAGGGAACCTAAGATGGAACCAGCTATCAGAATCCAGGATTAGCTGCAACCGTTAAACCTACAGGTGTAAAGTATTTCCTATTTGAGCCTGTGAAGCTTGTTACACGTCTCTTAATGTCCTCATTTGCACCCAAACTATATAATTATTTCACTTCCTGAAGTGATCATTTATAAATTTCATTTTTAAGGTGACGAAACCCACTGTAAAAATGTTTTGTGTATCTTATATTTTTAATTAATTTAGATCCTATGAAGCAATGGTTTTAACTCAAAGTTTTTTGTTGTTGTTGATCAGTGTTGAAAAAGCCCCTCTGAACCCTCTATGACATGATGTAAACCATTAAGCATGAAGACATCAAATACTTTCAATATACTGCAACTTTTAAAATAGCGGTTTTCAGACATGCTCTTTAGAGTATCTCTGCAGAATTGGGTCTGAACTTTCTGACTTTTCGTTTCACTCATGCACAAGGCAGCGCGAAATTCTCTGTTCACAAGATGTAACATATTTATACAACACATCAACACTGGCATTGGCTCTTCGCCACAAACTCTCTTGACATCTTCATCAATGTCTTCTACGTGTGTGGCTCTGCTTTTTCACCTGGAGATATTTGTTTCTTATTATTTTTTGTCTGTCGTGTTAGAAGCTTCATCGAGATGGGAAAAACTACCAAGTGGGAGTATGGTGTTCCGAAATAAATGCTCAAATTATGTATGCATGTACCAGTATATTCTTTACATCCTAAAAAAGTTTCTGAAAATGTCCCTCTAATATGTGCCTCTAAATTGGAATATCAAGATTCAAAATTTTCCCTTCTAACACTGGATACAATGGTGGCCTTCTAATACCCCCATACCTAAATACGGTGCAGGTTGGCATTCATTGCTAAATGTATGAATGATTTGATTGCTTATAAATGCTTTCCTTTTACATTCCCAATCTTCACACAACTGAAACTACACTGTGTTTTACCTTCTTGTGCTGATGGGCGCATCCGGCATTACAGGACCTGGAAAGGATACAGGCACTGAAGATGGATGCAAGCCTCTTTCTCAAAACTGAGGGGAACAAAAAATTAATCAACAACCTTAACAGTGTCAGGAGAAAAAAACAGGTAAGCCTTTACCAACACTTTCAGGGTAAGTTTACAGTAAATACAATTAAATAAATGCACTTATGTACAAGCAGAAATCAAATGTTCATACCATGTTCAACATATGTGATGAATCCCAAAGAGAGCAGAACTGCTCCCAGGTGAAAACTCAGACCCTGAGGGAAACAGACACAACTTCAAATTCAAGACATGGTACAAATAGTGGAGAGTGAACGGTGAACAGTGCACAATGACAGAGACATTAAACACTGACAATGACTGGCATACAGTGACCAGATGACAGTGACCAGTAACAGTGTTCATTGTAAAATGACCAGTAAATAGTGACCAGTAAACAGAACAAACAGACAATAAACAATGAACAATAACCAGCAAACAGTATGAGTGACCACTGTCAGTGAACAGTGGATAGTGACCAGTGTACAGTAGTGCCGCAACTAAAAAACATTTTGATGATCAATTCCTCCATGGATTACTATTTACGATTACTACTTTAGTGTCTTCTAGTGCAATGCTCTTTCTATTTGTATTATCAAATCAATCAATCAAATTGTGTTTGTATAGCCCATATTCACAAATCACAATTTGTCTCATAGGGCTTTAACAAGGTGTGACATCCGCTGCCCTATTGGTCATCAGCAACTTAATTATGACGATAATTACTGTTTCAGATATCTCTGAATTCAGTAATTTAATCATAGTTCTAATTAAAAATATCTTTATTCATCTATTATTAGCATTCAGAATTAAATTATAGATATCTGAAATTGAAGTTAGAAATATTTCAACTGAATTGGCAATGTGAATGATAGTAGTTTGAATGATCTTAAAGATATCTTACATAAAAATTCCTGCTACACAATGAAAGTACGACCTGTCAAAATGGCATTGTTGGTATAGGTCAAGTTAATTATGGATAGTCAAACTTGGATAACAAACATTAAAAACGGCTTGCCATAGGCCTGCTGAATGTGCCTCTGTTTGACAGAGCTGCAAGCGTGGGTATGCGTCTGTCTGACTGGAAGCATGGGTGTCCCTCACAGCAGAGTGTGTCAGGCCACAGCAGACAAGCTGTACTTGGTTGAGTTCATTGCTTGATTTACACACAAAAAAAAGCATCTTCCAGCAGCCCAAAACAATAATAACGGACAGACATTTTGTTTATCTGTCCAAACCAAGTAGTCCCCCCTTTCAGCTTTCCTCTTTAAATGTGTGGACACCTCGTAAATGACCATCAAATGGCATTGTTTTGGATTATTTTAACACATGAAGATTTCTTGTTAGCTGAGTAGTTGTAATGCCAACTATTTTTCATAATCATATTTAATTAATATAATCCAAAAAATTGCCAAGGGATACTGCCGGGTCAAGCCAAACTTGTTTTCTTATTCATGCAAAACCCTTGTTTTCCTCCATTTTACACCTTTCCAGTGGAGGTGGAAAAGATTGTATATACTGAAAGAGAGAGTATAGTAGTGTGTGTGAGAGACTATGATGATACATGTAAGAGAGTATAGTAGTGTATGTGAGAGAGTATGATGATACTTGTAAGAGAGTATAGTAGTGTTTGTGAGAGAGCATGATGGTACATGTAAGAGAGTATAGTAGTGATTTGAGAGAGCATGATGGTTATAGTGACAAGGGCTGCTCATATTGACAATGAAGATTGTAAAGTGAGATAGAGCAGTTTGCAGGGAACGGCATATAATCACCCGAACAGTGAGCAGTGTAAACTGTGAACGCCCCGACACTGAAAAGTGAACATTGTAGGGTTGATGGTGACCAATTTACAGGCAACAGTTAACCTTGAAAATCTACACTGTACTCTGCAGGGAATTGTGTAGTTTGTACAGTGCCCAACTACCCCTGGCCAGGTAAAAAGTAGATTGAAAATGAACAGGGAGAGTGCACAATATTTTTACTGTCACTATACACTGTAGAAGGTTGACTGTTAAATATACAAGTTCACTGTCACTGCTGGTAAATGGCAAATGGTCTGTATAACGATTTTCTAGTCTTGATTACTACTCAAAGCGCTTTACAGTAGTTTTGCTGCTCGATGAACACTACCGTATTCCATCTCTTTACAGTGTTCATTGTTTCCTGTTTAGTGTATGGAGTTAATTGTACACTGCAAACAGTTGACTGTATCTGTTCATTGCTCACTGTTAAAGTACACTGTAGACCTTCACCTTAAACCTTCCCTGTTCACTTTCAATGTAAATTGTAGACTTTCAGTAGTTACTGGTCACTGACAACAGGAAATGGCTCACTCTACATTGCTAATGGTCACTAGTCAGTGCACACCATTTTTTTCACTTTTACTGGTCACAATCCAATTGGTACTGTTCATTGTATCCATACAATATACACTACTCACAGTCAATTCCTACTGCTTACTTTCACTGTTAACTCTACACTATGCACAGACACTATGCACAGACACAATGCACAGTACTCTGGACATTGTTAACTGTATGGTTTACTGTCACTGAGATTGAACAGTGTCTGGTGTTTACAATCTGACTGTACATTACTGACTCTAGTGTTCACTGATCACTAACACATTTTTTCCTCACTTCCACTGATCACTGTCTAGTTGTGACTGTAAACTGGGTCTTTTCAATATACTCTGTTCACTGTCACAATACATTTTATATAATTTAGTGTTTTTGTTGTCTCTATACACTGTTAACGGTACAATGGTTAACATGACTGCATTGTTCATCTTACTATGTTCACCGCTGAACGTAAATCATTCACGTTTTACTGTAAAATTAACTTTTCTACTTTCACTGTTTGCTTTCAGTGCATATACTACAGTGAGCAGTGTCCAGTGAATAGTGTTCATTGATAGCTGTTCAGTGGATTTCATACAGACTGTACATTGTAAACTGTGAGCGCTGCACAGTGACAATGAAAATCTAAATTGGGACAGAGATTAGTTTTCTTCTCATAATATATGTCACCAGGATGGCTGAAAATGTCCCCAGTTTCATTGCATTTTTAAAAACATTTGTAAAACATGGAGAAGAAAACTCAGTAAACACACAAAATAATAATATATTAATATATTTTTGAATGTAACTTTCATAATCTATCTAGAAATTCCAGAAACCACTGTGTGTGTGTGCCTGTATGTGGATTGCATAATTCAAGAACGTTCACATTTGTTACATGTATTGTTAAGGGTGCAATGAATATAGTCTCTAATCAGTGTAAAATATGCATTGAAAGTGGGTAGTGCATGGTTTTCACTGTTCAGTGGAAGTTAACACTGTACAGTAAATAGTGTACAGTGTTAACTTTAATATTCTGTCTGCAGTGAACAGGGTATAACAATGAACAGTGTACACTGAAAAGTGTTGGTTTATACTTTACTGTGAACGGAGTACAGTGAACAGTGTCACTCAACAGTTTACAGTGAACACTTCGAAGTGACAAAGAGAACATTGTTCATTGATTGACAGTAAATATTGTAGAGTTCAATGCACACTGAGAAGTTGTACTGTGACAGGGCAGAGAGTATTGTGGACAGTGACCACTGATAGTGTACAATGTACATTGAAAAAGTTAAGTATGACAGTGAACACTAAAAGTGTACAGTTAACAATAAGGAATGGGCACTATGACAGTGAAAGTGTATGGTGTGCAGTGAACGAGTTTGGCGAATGCAGTGACAGTATGATCAATGAACAGGATATAGTGAGCATCAATCAACTGTGAATGGAGTGCAGTGAACAGAGACAGTGAATGGTTTACAAAGGTGTACAGTGACATTGAACAGTAAGAACTGCACAGTGACAATGTGAAGGGTTTACGGTTGCTGTGTGACCACTAACAGTGTAGAATGTACACTGAAAATAAACAGTGTCAGAGTACAGTCTAACACGAGAAATGTAAAGTGGCGATGAACACTTTACAGTGACCAGTGGAAGTGGATAGATAAATAAGTGTGCAATGACAAGTTACTAGTGACCACGACAGTGTACAATGAACAGTAACAGTGTCCAGCAACAGTGGGCAGTGAGCATTGGACAATGACTAGTAGCCACTGACAGTGTACAACATACATAAAAAGTGAACAGTTACAGTGACAATTGATCACTGACAGTGAAAAAAGTAAATTGAAAGTGAACAATGACAGTGAACATTGCACTGGGGCATTGATCAGTGAACACTGTACAGTGAGAGTGGCGTGACACAGTAACAATGAACAGGTATATTGAACAGTCAACAGTGTATAGTAGGGGTGTCGGGATTAACCGGTTTTACAATAACCACAGTTTGATAATGTCACAATTTCATAACCATAGGAATTGTAAAAACTGCAATATCTCACGTAATTTGGGAGCGGAAGCCACTGAAACATTAGTTGAGAAGACGAAACTGACTCAACGGCCTTATTTCCAACAACACTGGACAAATACCTCCGTCAGAGGAGTTCACAGACAGAGGAGAAATCCTTGTTTACTTCCAGTTTCTGACAGCTCCGCAGGAGCGGCAGACTCACACGCGCGCACACACGCACGCAAACACACATACACACACACACACACACACACACACACACACACACACACACACACACAGCTACTAATTTTCTGAAATTAGGGACAGTGGCATACCCACTACTTTGTTTGGGGATATTTATTATATTTTATCTGAATACTTACTTACGCCTAGGTTTATTGTTATTTTATATATTCTATTTCATTTTTTATATTGTATTAAAAAAAAATCCTTGTGTAATTTCTGAGCATGGCTAGAGGGAAGCAATGTTAATGGTACAGTGTGTAGAATTTTGTGATATCTAGTGTTGAAATTGCATGTTGCAGCTGAATACCCCTCACCTCACCCTCCCCTTCCAAAAGTGATGTTCAGGCTTTGACGACAAAGTTATATCATCAATATCTTCAGGCCTTTCAACTGAGACTGCCCTCCTTGATCCTATGATCAGAGACCTGGCCTCAAATTAAGTCAAGGTCGCAGTGCCAGTTACTGACTCTCAATGAAACAGGAAGTTGTTTTTAACTCCACTGTGCATTAACCAATCAGCCCCAAAATTCTCAACTATAATCAGGGTCCTGACCTGAACAGTTCTATTAGTGTGTATAAAGTTATAGTGATAGCGTCACCTACTGGCAACAGGAAGCAAGCCTTGTTTTACAATTTTAATTGATTTACATGAAATTTACACTGTGTGGTCTACACTTGATGGTGTGTCATATTTGATTAGTGGGTGTGGTTTGGCGTTGTGTGACAGTCGCAGGAAGTGAAGCATTGATACTTCTCACTGTGCACTAAATGCACGCAACACAGAACCATTTCGCCTGGTCCCCATCCGCCCTCCCCCACGGCTGCATCAGGTCCAGAGTTTGTGAGTGCCCTAATACTTTTATTATTTTGTAATAAAAGTTTTTCTTTAACATACATGTTGTGTTGTCTTTATAAGGGTTGCATAAGTGTCATCCAAGCTCTACACTGTCAAGAACTCCATATCCTTTAACTTTGTTAACTATTAACTTGGTAATTTTGGATAAAGTTATTAATTCAATTATTCATTCCAAATTCATAATCAATACTTTCATGAGACTTAGTCTAAATTGGCTATCTTTTCCCTTCCTTTGAAGGGTGGTGCCCCAAGGTGGCTTTAATGTCAATTAAAGTTAATATTTAATATTAATATTCAATATTTTTCTGTAACATTTATTGAACACTTAAGGTATAATAATCATTATAACCTTACTGCCAACATTGTTGCAATAACCCGATCGTGTATATACACACTGCACAACATCAGGAGAATACGTCCCATTTTCACTCAGAAGGCAGGCTCTTGTCATCTCACGCCCAGACAGGAAATGTTGGTGGACGGGGGCCGGCAGCTTACAATCCCTTCACATATTGTCAATACCACCCTAAGACCTGACCTGATGCTCTGGTCCAACCCTGATCAATTTGTGGTGGGCCTGCCTAAGTAGAGGGTGTCTTGTGATTAAAAGGCTGAAACACTTGATGATGCTGAGGGACACAACTGAACACAAGTCCCTAACATCCACTGGTGGTCACTAACATCTGCTAACATCAACTGGTGGGAGGCATTAATTGGTGCAATAGATCGTACAAGGGATATTCTCCATCTTGTCCTATGTTCTAAAATGGGACAATGTTTAGTTTAAAAAGGCATAGAGGTAATGGTGTCTGTTCTACTGAGCGGGCAACATGGCTTTCATAGTACTGCCATACAAGCCAGTAGCTAGTCCGACTTACCTTTAGCCTCAGTGTACCCTCAGGTTCGTCCTGTATTGTTGATTACAAGGCCAAAACATGTGACGCTGTTGTTTTTTTACATTTGAAGACGTGTACCCCAGTTACTTCAATTTCACTGGGTTTGGCTGTAATGCTATTTGCTCCTCTGAAACACCAAAAGTCTATTGTGGACTCAAACACGGGAACAATTCTGAACAGTAAGTGTGAACATTTTCACATTTGTTCAAGTGAACTTAACTTTATCTCTTATTTAATATCCTATCAGTTTTGTCAAAAATAAGAATAAACTCTGAATAGAAAAAAACTACAATGTAATTTACCCTGAGGTTTAACAACACATTTGGCATTATCATAAAACAAGTATATTATTAGAACTCAGGTACTGTGTAACACACTTACAATTTCATATCAGTGCTGTCAAGCTCCAGTTGAACTTACCATCTGGTGTTGTCTTTTTCTTCAGTGAATCCTGTTCCAGCTAGCTTGCTGGTGCCTTCACTTAGGTAACCAACAAAGTAGTTGCTGAAGTGGAAGGACACTGCATTCTCATAAGCATGAAGCCACCTGTACATCAAAACACATACAAAAACACAGAGTATCTTTCTTTTTTTCTTTTCAACTGAAAAACATTTATCACTTTACCACTTGAATTTAAATCATCCTTCAAAATGTTTGCTTAAACTCCTCTGAGTTTATGTTAAATGCTTCATATGCAGGGATTATGTGAACAGTTTATGATGTGATTATTCCCACATCCTGCATTAACCTAATATATATACATAAACACAGGAAGTTCTAATTGAATGGGGAATTGCACATAATAATAGCCCATTTACAACAATATTAGCACACAAGAAAAAAGACCATACTAATGCCTTTGTATGTTTAAACAGGATAACTGTAATAATCTGCTTACACCAGTGACTGTATATAAAGGATAATTGACTTGACAACTACCAAAACTGAGGCGTTCCCATATCTTTCTCTCCAAATTAGCTTAAGAGGGCTTTGTGTTCACATATGCGCAAAAACTTTTGAGCTTGTTTGGAGGGCTGAAAGGGACCCTAGGTTTGTTTTTATAGATCACAACTTAAGCCTGGTAAGTGGCGCACACATCTTTCAGACCCATTTTGTGCAAATGCGACGGTTATAAATGAGGCCCCAAGTCTTACTATAACCACACTTCAGCAGTAAGTAAAGAAAATGCTGATAATTTTAACTCTGAAAAAAGCCTTACCTTTTTCAAATGTGTCTTCGAAGCAGGGGAAAAAAACATGGTCCGTTTTCAAAACAGTGTATTATAAAAGGTGATGTACAGACAAAACGTCTTACAGGATGCTAGATGACAACGATGAAAAAAAACCCTCTTACTTCTGCGAGACTGTGTTTCCATAGATGGGTATGAAGAAAGGGAAGAGGTAAGGGCCGATGCAAGTGGAGACCAGCAAACAGATCTGACTCTTCAGGAGGCTGAGGAATGAACTCTGTAGCCACCTCCAGCTCTGAGGAAAGAAAACACCTTATTTGTTCTCCAGGGCACAATACAGGAAGAAGGGCAGTTGCACAGTGAAAGCTCGGAGCATCAAATACTAACCAGTTTTCTGCCTTCAATAGCATTCTTATAACTGGAGAAGCTGATCCAAGGACCAAATATAACAGTGCCCACGAAGAAAAGATAGCCCAGGAACTCAGCTGGGGAGGGGAGGCTGTTCACTGCACCTCTATCCAGGTCAAAGGCCAGAGAGATGGCCTTCATGGCCACCACCATCTGAGAGCCTGACACAGACACACACACACCCTTTAAGCCACCACTGGGGGCAAAGTTATGATACTGGTAGTTAGTAACTTAAATTATGCAGAAGACCTTGAAACATATGAGGGATATTTACCATCTTGTGCTATATCCTAAAATGATTGTAGCTGGATGCAGCCAGTGACCTCTATGAACAGGATAGCTGACAAGAAGGAAAAGACCTTATGACAGCGAGGAAAGACAGCTGACTGGAGGGAATAGACCCCACTGGGGCCGGCATGGGTAAGCTACCCATGCTGGCAGGATCCATTACGATTTAGTATTTGGAGACACCCACTAATGGCTATGAAAGCGACTCACTAACAGATCACGTGGCTAATGACCCTGGAATGGAAACGACTAAGACGAAGGCAAGCAAAAAATCAGTGAAGTCCAGTGGAACGGACTCAACCCAAAGTTCACAGGGCATCAGTCTTCCTGAATCTGAGGAAGTTAACTCCAGCAGAGAGGCAGTTGCAGAAGACGGTATAGAGCCGACTCTGCCAGGAAAACATACCAACTAACTTACTCACACATAGCAGGTGCTATGTTGGTTGAGGTAATAGCGAATTGTTATAGACCAGCAAAAAGGAAAGCTGTCTGTCTGTAGACTGACTGATCATGTTAGTTACCTCTGCCAAGGAGGTTATGTTTTCAGCAGTGTTAGTTTGTCTGTTTGCAGGATTATAGAAAAACTACATGATGGATTATTGATCTTGATAACGAGTGTGTACAATTTGCTGCTGATTCAAATAAAAATAAAAATTTTGTGTATGTGTGGTTTCATAAGGGGGCTCAGTGTTTCCCTTGGAATTAACTAAATCTATGGCAGAGCCTTTGGAGGGTTTTACACCAGAAAGTAGAGCAACAAACCTAAGAGCAGCTCAAATGAATCATCATCATTAAAATAGCCTCTCACCATAGTCCCACAGGATTCTGAAAGAAAGTTGGTAGGTTGGGTGGGGGGGATTGAGTACAGCTACGTGGCTATGGACAGCTGCTTTGGATGATTCTTCTACAGCTGCTGGTTGATTTTTAAGCCACCTGTGTTGCCTGTGCATGGTGGGTGTGGAACATCTCAAGCCACACTGCTGTGACCCGTCATGCAGAATTTTGATCTTTTTTTTTTTTTTACAATCGTATTCACATAACACAAAGTAGTAGCTCTGGCATATCAACAGAACTGTAGAAAACAGATAGAAAATCAGGAGGAGAAACTTTTTCGGACCAAATGATGGAATATTTACCTCTTATCTTATGCCAGGTCACCATATCAATTAACTGCAGCTCTCTGAAAGGAAGAGGGAGAAAATTTCAATACAATATGAAAAATGTATACAGGAAAAACTAGAATATCTCTGCAGATTCACTTATCGAAGTAATTCAAGGGGAATTTAATTGAGAAGAGGGTCTGACTTAACGCCCTTATTTCCACCAACACTTGACAAAGAACTCCATCAGAGGAGTTCACAGGGAGGGGAGAGGAGAACATTTTTTCTTTCTTTTTTCCTTAAGGATGCCTGTGAGCACCAAGCTGACAGTTAACTTACCAACGTAGCCCTAGCCTCTAGCCTGTAGTCACCAGGCTAGTGGAAGGTGCAAGTGGCATACCACAACAAGATTTTTGCATTGTTTGCTCACCCAATAAGGAGGTAGATGAGGATAACAACCGAGAGGAAGGGGCCTCTGGTGCAGGAGTCTCGACTGAGGAGCAGAGCAAGGTAACAGAGTGCACTGAGCAACAGCACCCACAGCATTTGGAACTCAAAAAAGAGGTAGAGGCTGTACATCCCAGCCAAGACTGAAACTACATGCTTCACAGTGGACAAACCTCCTGAGGAAAAAAGACAGGAAACATATAATTACAAGTCCAAAAATTCCAAACAGCCTCTCACCTCACAATCATAAAATGTTATGAGGCCAATATTGTGTGTGTGTCCATGTGGAGAGTTGTGTATCTCTTCCTGTGTGTGCTTTATCATATTTGTAAACAAGTAGAAAACTGTGTAATGAGGTTTGCAAGTGTTTTGTGATTTGCATACAAATATATACATTTTCTGCATAGATCTGTGAATGCGTAGATGAATCTTTGTGTGTGCATAGATCTGCAAACATTAAGACAAATCTGTAAATGCGTGCAAAGATCTGTGGATAAACCATATATAGTTTATGGTTTATTTGTTACTCACCAAGTGTGAAGCACAGTCTGCAGATGAGGCAGAGCAGCATCAGTCTCCAGACCTGCTGCAGGCCCTGCTGCACTGTAGTGAGACCACAGCTCTCAGCCAGCTCCTGCCACATCAGCAGCCTGCTGGACATGTCCATCCTGCAAGCAAACACACAAATGGGAAAATGAATCATTTTATCTCAGGAAAATGTGGGAAATAAACACAAGCCTATTAAAAAAACTGTAACTATTTATGACATTGTGATGGAGTAAAACGTATTACTTACTTGTCCAATTTATTTCGATTAAGGCAGCAAATACTATTTTGACTATGACTGTGACTTTTGGTGTTCTCATAACGTGTTTTTTTGACAGAAACATACAATTGAGAAACAAGGGACTATCTGAAAGTAAACATTCAACCACTGAATAAAATGATTTTACAAACACTGCCTGACCAAAACAAAAGGTCACACACTCTAATATTTCGTTGGACTGTCTTTAGCTTTGATTAACGCATTCCCTGTGGCATTGTTTCGATAAGCTTCTGCAATGTCACAAGATTTATTTCCATCCAGTGTTGCATTAATTTTTCACCAAGATCTTGTATTGATGATGGGAGAGTCGGCCCACTGCGCAAAGCCTTCTCCAGCACATCCCAAAGATTCTCAATGGGGTTAAGGTCTGGCCTCTGTGGTGGCCAATCCATGTGTGAAAATGATGTCTCATGCTCCCTGAACCACTCTTTCACAATTTGAGCCCGATGAATCCTTGCATTGTCATCTTGGAATATGCCCGTGCCAGGGAAAAATCCATTGATGGAATAACCTGGTCATTGAGTATATTCAGGTGGTCAGCTGACCTCATTCTTTGGGCACATAATGTTGCTGAACCTAGACATGACCAACTGCAGCAACCCCAGATCATAGCACTGTCCACACAGGCTTGTACAGTACATGCATCACTTCATCTGCCTAAATCCAGGTGGCGACTTTTTTTTGGGCCAGGCAGTGTATTAACATCTCTGACCTCGACTTCATTATGTGCTACTTTTAGACATCGCTATACATTTTACCCAGCGACATGTAAGCGATTGTAAACGCTTAAAATGCTCCTGCACGTTGCTAAACAATTTTTCCTTAGCTGCTTTCAGAAATGTGGTGTGTGAAGTTTTGGTGGTTTAAATGCGACACGAATTAGAGTAGACTGTGGCAGGGCTGAAGTTCAGGGACCCGAGGAGAAGTCAACTTAGCTGAGAAGCTAACCTGTGAGGAAGAGGCGAGACAGCTTCTGCTTCTTCTGCTTCTTCTTCTTCTTATTACTTCTTCTTCTTATTACTTCTTCTTCTTACTACTTCTTCTTCATCTTCTTCTCCTTTCTCTTTTCTTCTTCTTTTTTCTTCTTCTTCTTTTTTTTTCTATTCTTCTTCTTCGTCTTCTTTTTCTTCTTCTCCACACGTATCCCTTATTTCCTGGTGAAAGACTCGTGCAAACTGCAATATCGCCACCTACTGGACTGAAGTGTCTCCTCCCAATATCAGACAGAGATGAGCTGTGAGGAAGCTTGAATTACCTCTGCCAATTAGGTTATCGTTTTTGTTTGTCTTTTGTTCTTTCATTAGTTAGTTAGTTAGTTAGTTAGTTAGTTAGTTGGTTGGTTGGTTGGTTGGTTGGTTGGTTGGTTGGTTAGATAGATAGTTTAGTTAGTTAGTTAGTTAGTTGGTTGGTTGGTTGGTTGGTTGGTTGGTTAATTTGTTGGTTCATTAGTTAGCTAGTTGTTTGCATAGAATAATTTAATGGATCTTGATGGAAAAATCGTACATGTTTAGGGGACTAATATTAATGACCGTATGCAATTTGGTGCAAAGTCTTGATGACCACTTAAGCACTTTACAGTACAATTTTACATTCACCCATTCACACACAAATTCATACACAGCTTTAAAGGAACAGCCCTCAGCAGGTTTAAATCTTTTTTTTCAGATTGATTCCTATTTCTACACAATGATGAGTCATCCATGTGCAGCAACATTACCAGTTCCTCAGAGGTCTGTGCTTGGCCCAGTTTTTTTTAACCTTATATATGCTTCCATTCGGACACATTATCAGGAAACACTGTAAATTGTCATTGTTGTGCAGATTATACCCAGTTATAATTATCTTTGAAACTAGAGGAAGAATCTCTAAACTGAGACAAAGCTGAAGTTATAATACTTGGTTCTGAGAGTTATATTTGATCCAGATTTGTCCTTTGATTCAGATTTTAAAACACAATTCAAGGACTGTAATTTTTCATCAATATAATATTGCAAAAATGTGGCATGTCCTGTCTCAAAAAGATGCTGAAAAATGAATCCTAACCTTCATTACCTCCAGACTTGACTAGTATAATTCCTTATAATCAGGTTCTACCAGTAAATCTGTAAAGAGTTTGCAGATTGTCCAAAATGCTGCAGCTGACATAAACCACGGACAAAAATCATATTTCTCCTGTATTAGCTTCACTACGCTGACTTTTTGTTCAATTTAGAATATAATTTAAAATTCTCTCCTATGGAATCATCTCCCAGTTTCAGTTCAGTAGGCAGACACCCTCTCTATTTTTAAGAGAACCTTCCTTTATGATAAAGCTTATAGTTAGAGCTGGTTCAGGTCTGTCCTTGATCAGCTATTATTGTCAGGGAACACATGACACATACAGCGTCTCTTTCCCCCTCTTCCTCTTCATCACATTAATGTCTCATCAATACATGTTACTGAATAGTATTTATCCCTGGAGTCCTTGAGTTTTCATTTGCAGATCAAGGATCATTGCTGCGGCCACATAGCAAATCATGATACTGGATCATTAACACCTCTTGCAATTGTGGATCGTGGTGGCAGCTGATTGTGAAATAAATCATGAAGGTAAGACCTTCTAGTTATGAAACATTCAAAAGGTTGATGGGTTAGGTCAATGGGTCAAGATGATAATCATAACGGTAATGAAAGATAAATGCAAACAGCAATAAATAATATTAAACAAACATCTTTATTCCTATATCATATTAGTCATATAAGTGCACTTCTTGTTTATCATTTATATAGACTCAAAATAGATCTTAAATATAATCGTAATTTATCCAATGATGGGTTAGACTTTGAGAAGTGGACTTTATGGAAATAACATTTCCTATTAGAATTAAAAGGTTTTCTTAATTATAGTTAGCTGAACTTTCAGATTTGTATCTATATAGTATTTCTGGCTTCCAACTTAAGTGATTGGTTTGTGCAATGAAATATTTCTCAACTTTTTGTTTTGTTTGTGCATTGATATTGCTAAAAGTGAATGTTGTTTCTTCTTCAGTCTTTCAAAATTTGTATTTGTTATCAGTATCTGCATGTCATTATATTTTGTATTTAATGAGACAGATATAGCTTAAAGCTGAAAGTTGAGCTGCATCACTTTGTAAATCTGCAGAAATTATAATATATAGCTGTCAATCCAATGTTGTAAATATAATGATTCGTTCTTATCGCTTTTGACAAAGCACAACTTGCTGCTGTTGAATAAATATATATACATATCTATATAACTTCTTTGATCATTTTGTTTGATCATAACAACATAGTAATAGGCATCGTTTCAAAATGTTCTGACCAAAGATGACAAATAAGTCAACAGAACCGGTTGGTTCATGTAGTTACCAGCTGGTATATAGTTAAGGTGACATACTACTACTATTACCAGTTCTACTGTAGCAGTAGTACTATTATCCTATTTCTGCTATTAGTACATCCACTACCTGTGACACTACAGCCTCCTCAGTTGGTTTTAAGTTACTGGGTGTTCAGAAGTGTGTTGGATGAGTTCCTCCATCTTCCAGCTGCTTAGCGGCCTCGTTAAATATTGATACCGCCTCCAGGAGTCCACAGACCGGGCCAACTGACAGCCCCGCGCCGGCAGGGGGGCTCCTGCATGAGCCGCGGCTGACTGCAGCTCTCATGTGCGCCTGCAGGGGGCAGTGCAGCGGGGCTTCTGTCCATGGTGCTGAAGATTCGACTGGCTCTGTCCGGGGTGCTGAAAGGCTCCGGGTGCTGGCCTCAGTGTGAAGCTGCTGCCGCTCTGACTCAGTCCCTCTGAGGTCCTCTGCTGTGCCCGGCTGCTGCTGAGGTGGTGCTCCAGAGAACCAGTTTGTGCAGCCCGGACATGTCGGAGAGGAGGGGGATGGGATGGCAATACTGTGAGTGTAAGGTAAGGCTTCATGTCGCTCTGACAAAGAGCATGAAGCGCCATCACTTGTCGGTATTTTCTGTTGTTGCCGCTGCTACAGGCCTGACTGTGGAGCTCCCACCGAGGAGGCATGACGCGATGAGGCCGAATGGAAGATAGCTCGTCGCGGATTGTCAGCGAGCTTTCGTTCCGTGGAGAATAATGAACTCGGTCCGTATGTGCAGACAGTCAGGCTTTTAAACCGATTATCACCGTGGCTCGTTATTTCCAGCGCCTACAATGGCGGCCCGGTGTCGATACGATCTGTTGTGAAAAGCGTTGAACGCCGATCACGGCGGCTTGTTTCGTGTTGTGCCAGTTTCGGAGAGAGGCCTCGTCCTTGTTAAAAGCCTGGCCTACATCCCTGCTGTTACGAACACGCCTCGTTCTCTCTAATTTACCCTCGCAGTCTGTGTGTATGATATTGTGTGTAGAAATGTAGAAGCAGTCAGTCCACATCTAAACTGATGCCATCCTGTAATCGCCCTGTAATCCTGTGACCCTGTTCCCAGACTGTCATGACCAATCGCATGCAATATATTAGGATGATGTATTTCTTGTAATTAATTAATTTCAATTATTTTATACAATTTTTTCTAGAATATAAGACAAGATGGTGAATGTTTTATTATAGTCTTACATTGTTGTTATTAAACAAATTTCTTATTTTTACAGTGTCTGTCATTATCAAATATGTTCAAAAAAATGGTCTGAATGCAGCAGAGGCAGAGAGATTTTGACCTTTAGTCTCTTGGATGAGTGAAGCCTCGAAAAGCAAAAGCCTTCATTTCCCAAACGGCAACCAATAGAATCTTACTGTGACACTCTGTGAGCCTTTTGTTTTGTTATAATACTGAGTCTGCAATCTTGTGTTAAGGTAACCCAGGTGACATCACTGTGACTTGATCAGGGATTGAATACTAGGTCTAACCATAACAACCCATTCTATTTTCTATGAAATTCAGTTCAGTCACCTTGTGTTAATAACTGTGTGCAAAATGATCTTCCATCTAAAAGACTGTGTTGTGTGTGTTTAATCCAACAGAAAATGATTTCAAAGGTCAATTAATGAGCCAGCCAGCCAATTAGGGGAGAGACAACTGATCAGAGAGGACACGCTTCAGCATCAAAGTACTCTATGTCTCTCTCTCTCTCTCTCTCTCTCTCTATCTATCTATTTATCTATCTATCTAACTTACTTATGATCTTGCTCATGTCCCTCTGATATTCAGATGAGCCAAGACATTACAGAGACACGAACACGAACCCGCTCTAAAGGCATTCGGGGTAAGCACACACACACACACACACACACACACACACACACACACACACACTTATAGTCCTTGTATGACTTACATTTTTGCATCTAATGATTTTCCTGCTGGTGGATTCAGTGTTATCAGAACTTGCAGGACAGGAGATGAAGCAGGAGTTGAGGTAAGGAATCTAATGCTTCTGCAGAAGACTGTCAGTATGTAGAATGTATGTCTTGTATGTATAAAAAACATTGTCTCGCTCTGTGTCAGTAGCAGCTGTCCCACCCCTGGATGTGACGGCAAAGGCCACGTCAGTGGAAGATACTCCCGACACAGGAGGTAGGGTTCCGTCTAACTTTCTGCACTGTACGTCAGTGAGTTGGCTAGAACATATAGCAATATTAACATTTACACTTCACGCTAAGTCATCTATGAAGATCCCACAAACATCAGAAAGACAATAACATAGCTTAGTGACTGATTTATTTTTCAATATATATTCAATTAAAAATAAACATGCGATAATCAATTAATGTGAAGAGGTGTGTTAGAGCTTCTTAGATTTATACAATAAGTGACTACCTATGTCTGCCACACTTCAATAACAGTTGATTTGCATAAAGCTGCAAATGGTTACAAAATGAGCAAAATAAGAGTTTAGATATTTATCAGTACAAAGTCAAAAAAACTCTCTATAAATGGAGACCATTCATTTGCAGGGGGTGTCCCCCAAGTGCACAGGATTTACATATTTTACAGATAAACATTGAAACTGTGCTGAAAGATAATTTCCTATGTCTATTCTGCTGTGAACTTCACGCATTACTAGAAAAAAACAGGCCAGCCCTCGAAGATCTCTAGAAGAGCAGTGCTGCATCTGAGGCTGAACCCCACAATCATCCCAGTGATGTTTTCGCTAGTGTATGAAAATTCTACAAATTGCTGTTTTCTTTACCCTACCTGAACCTTTATATTTTAATATTTTAAATACTTTAATACTATATTTGCATCAGCAGAGGGTCCTATCTACAGTAGCCCAGTTGCAACATGCAACCTCACCACTAGATGTCACTAGATTCTACAAACTGAACCTTTAATGGGATCCAAAGGAAAGTCTGTAACTTTTCCCATAATCCTTTTTAAAAACTAAGTAATAGATACAATTATAATTAAAATGCCATTAACATCAATAATAATAATAATAATAATAGTGTTCTCTGAGGGCCCCCTGTCCATGCTGGGCATTTGATATCATTATAACTCCACCGTGTACACCCCTGAACCCCCCTTAAGGTGCCCAAGTTTATTTGAAAAGTGTCTCTCTCTTGGTTGTTCAGCTTACTCCAGAGGTTTAATGATCAGTGAGATATAAAGAAGCTCAGAGTAACAGCTAAAGCTTCAAAGGAATCACTGGACCTGGTTATGACCTGTGTTCATGAATCTGCCACACACCGATCATGGAGCACAGTATGCATGGCAGGGCCTTACAGAGGGAGCTGCTACTCTCCAAAAGAACACATGCCTGAAGTTTGTTACTAGGAAAATTGTTGACTGATGTAATGAAGGCTGACATATTTGGGAACACCACATAATACTGTGTGTGATATAAAAGGCAACTGTTGTCTGCCAACCTGAAACCAACATCTCTGAGGTACAGTATAGTGGAGGGATCATCATGAGGTAGGACATCCCAGGTCCCAGTGAACCGTACAGGATGACTTCAGGGTGGTTATGCATCAGATGAAGATCTAAACTCAGACCTAAGGTGCTGTGGAATGAGTTCAGAAGGCCATTCATGCTAGACATCCTGACAGTATTGTTGCACTGAAGCAGGTCTTTTGTAAGAATAGTCCAAAATTTCTCGATAACATGGTGCAGGTGTGCTGCCAGACAAGCTTGAGGTTGATTCTGCCAAAATAAGTTCTACCAGTTAATCAATCAACAGGTTTCTTAAAATTTTTTATAAGAAACCTATATCAGATAATATTTTATGAGCATTTATGCAGAAAACCAGGTCATTACAAAGGGTTTATATACTCACACTATCCTGCAACTGCATACGTATTTGTTAGTGTATTGGATGTTAGCATAAACTTAAATACCAACCCTGCTCTCCACAGCGTACTGGGATGCCCAATTGTGAAGAAAAGGAAACTAGAGGAGGCTGAGGCTGAGGAGAATCAGTCTGCTCCCAAACGAAGGAACCAACCAGCCAAACAGGTAGCAGACGATGGCTTCACTGCAGACAGTGAAGAAGAGGAGGAGGAACAAAAAGAGGAGGAAGAAGAGGAGGAAGAAGACCTTAAAGAGAAGAATAAGGACAAAACAAAAAACAGACCAGAGTCAGCACAAAGTGAGTGAGACCAGAAAGGTTACCATGAAAAATTGCCTGAAGAGTACAGTAGCTATGGGGAGATATATCATTATTCAATGTGAATGACTGTTAAATGCCCTTAGAAATAATAGAACCTGATAATTCACTCAAAAGCTTAGATTAAGAATCAACTTTATATCAAAGAAATAAAGTTGTATTAGTTGTGGTATAAAAAACTCATTTTCGAAAAATAAAAACAAAAAGATTCTAAGATAAAGCAATTAGCTGAGGGTGAAAATCAAAGGGTTTATATGTCCATGGTTTTCAGACATATGCCTGCAGCCAAGCAAGCTGAATGCTAATATGAGCATGTTCACAGGCTAGTAATAACAATGTTGACATGATCCTTTTTCAGTGTGTACATTTAACCATGGTCATCATTAATGTTAATATTTGTGTGTTATTGTTATAGTGTAGCATGTTATCATGCTAATGTTAGCCAGCTAGCAGTAAAAAGCACAGCACAGAACAAAAACAGGTCTGTATTAATATAGAGCATCTATGTGCAACAATTTCTCTACATCACATCATTCACACACTGGCGACATGACCTGCTCCACCTCCAGAGACACAGTCAAAATTATTCGCTTTTTCAAACTCATCATGGGGCATTATGGATGGAGCTATATTGAAGAAAAGAAATCGCAGAATCGAAAAGACAACTCAAAATATGAAAGAATGAAGTCTTACTATTTTGAAAATAAAGTCATAATTTAATGAGAAAAAAATCCCAATAGTATGAGAATTAAGTAATTTATTGAGATAAAACTATAAAATAATATTTAGAGAAAAAGGAAACAATGTTAATGAAATATCCAGTAGGGAGAACCCATGCAACCTCACAGGAGTTCCACTTTTTCTGTTTCTTGACAAACTGAAACTCCTTTGAATACAATCTATATTAGTTGACCACTGCAAACATTGCTTCCTCCAAAAAAGAATGATGTTCTTCATATAACTCACAGTGGTAAGTGCAGTCTTGAGTCCAAGCTTTTATAGAATGGGTTATTATTTGTAAATAAAAATATATAGATATTTGACCTATGGGCGCTACACAAATAAACTTGAATTGAATTGACCCTGCCACCGACCTACTCAGCACAGTCCAACCCTTATGAGAGGCAGAGAGTCAGGTAATACATTGATGCTAGGATGGAGGATAGCTTGATGATGCAGACACAGACTAGAGTTGACTACCAACATAAACCTGCAGCCTTATAGGGATAGTTCACCGAAAAATTAAAATTATCTACTCACCAGTTTGCCAATGGAGGGGTGGGACAATGACATTTGTTTATGATTTGAATCTACAGCAGACTGTTCACTGGTGACATCAGAGGAATCTGAAACATCAGAAACTACAGTTTGTCTTGTGGCTGAAGACGACAACAATCAAAGCGTCTCCTCTGAGACTGGGAATGAAGCTGAAAGTGAGAAAACTAGTGAGGAAGTGAAGCAGGTTACACTCTCTGATGATCATCACCAGGAGGAAACAGAGATAAAGAAGAAGGAGGAGAGTAACCTGGTGATGAAAGAGCACCTATCTGAGCAACCTCAAGAAGAAGCTGGAATTGCTGATCTTAAAAAGACAAAAGAGGAGGAAGAGGAAGAAGAAGAAGAAAAGGAAGAGGAAGACCAGCAAGACAGGCAAGAAACTATTGTAGAAGTGAGGCAGGTAGAGAGACAGATGATAAGCCAGGAAAACTCTGATCACCAGTACTCCAGTGGCGATTACAACCATCAGGCCAAAGAATCAATAGTGGTGCAGAGTAAGAGGGCGGACCATGAGGAGGAAAAGGAAGAGGAAGATGAAGGAGAGGAAGAAGATGAGGGAGAGGTGAAGGAGGTCCACCAAGGGGTTGACACTCCTTACACTTTGAGTCCACACACTCAGGGATCAGATGCCGAGGTGTCACTCAGGGAAGAAAAAGTCAGCACCCCCATGACTGAGGAAGAGGAAGAGTATGAGGGGCAGGAAGAGGAGGAGAGAGAGGAAGAGGAGGATGAGAGGCAGGAGAAGGAAGCAGGTGAGGTGGTGGAGGAGGAAGAGGAGGACAGAGACTCGAGCAAAGCCTCTCCGACTACAGTGGTTATTGAAGTCCACTCGGATGAGGAGGAGGAGGACGAGGAGGATGAGGAGGAGGACGAGGAGGAAGATGAGGAGGAGGAAGAGGAGGAAGAAGAAGAAGGAGAGGAGCAGGATCGTGTCTCAGAAGGCTCAGGAATCACAGACGACTCTGAGAACTGGGATATGACTCGGGGGAACCTGGGGCTGTTGGAGCAGGCCATTGCCCTGAAGGCTGAAGAGGTGAAGGGGAGTCAGGAGCCACAGAGTTCCCCAGAATATCAACCATACAGCAGCTCCAGCAAGAGCTCTGAGCCTGCAGCTGTGGCCCGACGCACCGCTCACTACAGCAAAGGTACATTCACTATAACTACAACCAAACAGCTCACTCTAAGAGTGCTCTTGTTTCTAACACACCATGAACTAATGCATGTGTCACATCAGGAATGCTATTACAGATTTCTATGTTTGGTTAATGACATATATTAGCTTAAAGCATTATCACAAAATCAAGTGATATATCTATAAAGTGCAATTTAATCTTACAGTTTAACAATAGCACATGGCTCTTTCTGTGCAGGAGTTACTGGCTGCATGTGGCCCAGAGGTAAAATAATATTTCATCCCTTAAACAAAAACATTATGTGTTTATCGTAAGCATTTATAAGGGAACACTTATAGATGATTTCAGGGGACATTAAGGATGGAACAATCAGTTTTTTGTGTGATTTCATATATGAGTATAAGAAAGAGTCAATAACATTAACCATTGTCACCCCACAGCATTTAAAAAGATGACTATCTATCATATAAATTGCTGCAATTCTTCATACAGATACTATTTAGTGGTTAGTTGATTGATATCGAAGTAATGAAATTACCAATACTCATGGTCCGATTCTTGTTGAGTAATGAAACTAGTATCAAATAATAATGATAAACCTCATCTATGCTTTTCAAAACAAAGTTACAAAGTGCTTTACCTGAATATTCAAGTAGATCAATATCTAATTGATTCTTTGTTATATGTATATTACTACTAATTTAATTAATTATCCCTGCTGTCTAAATCATTCCCTCGTCTATTTAGAGAAGAAGGAAGTGAAGTGTCCGACCCCAGGGTGTGATGGGACAGGTCATGTGACTGGGCTGTACCCTCACCATCGCAGTCTATCTGGATGTCCTCACAAAGATCGAATCCCTCCAGAGAGTGAGTGCACATTTGCTGTCTCCATAGACCTTCAACAGACGATCAGTTAAAATGCTCTGATGACTCTATTCTAACATGCAGACCATTTTTATTTAAGATTTTCCAGCTTTAAGAGTAAAGACCTGGGTATTTTTTGTTTGTATTGTTAATATTATTTCTACCAGTAACACAATGACTAGTAGTACCACTAGCACTTCCTTCTGTTAGATAATCAACTACTAATAATTCTTCTTTTAATGCCATTAACACATTTTCAGAGAATGAGTGTGTTGAACAGCTTGTCCTTTCACTATACCGCTAGTGATGTGAGACCTTCTACAGTAAACTGCAGAGACTGACCCCTTACTCTGTTGTGTGTCTGTAGTTCTGGCCATGCATGAGAACGTCTTGAAGTGTCCAACTCCTGGCTGCACAGGCCAGGGTCATGTCAACAGTAACCGCAACACACACCGCAGGTTAATAACACACCCACAGACACACACCCAAACATATAACACACATTCAGAAAATCATGCAAAACACATACACATGGGCCTGACTACCACAACAAATGTGTAAGTGGACATAGTGTGTGTAATAAGCTTCCATGACTTCCCACATATAGAATTAGAATAGTTTATCCTTTGATTAGGCAACATTTCAGTTTTCAAAAATGATCGATACACAGATTTGGAGTTCTGGGATTCTAAAATAACTGCAATCATCACAAATAAAGATATTGCACAAACTAGTGCAAGTGAGGTATAATCTCAGGGAGGCCTAATCTTATCTAATACTACTAACACGACTGACTCTGTCTTTAGAAGATTAGCAATAATTTGAGCACCTGTCTGGGTACTGAGTGTTGACCTATTCATTCATTAAATCCAAACATGTGGATGTGTCTCCCCTTTGTCAGTCTGTCCGGCTGCCCCATCGCAGCAGCAGCTAAACTGAACAAGAACCAAGACAAGCAGGTTCATTTACAAGCTGCAGCCAGTGAACCCTCTTCCAACTCAGACAGAGTGCTCAGGTGAGACAAGATAGTTACCACCAAGTGACACTATTTGTTTCTTTTCTCAACTCAGTTTCTAGTGAATACATACATCTACTCTTTGTTCATGTCAGTGCAAGGATAAAACATACCTACCAACTTTTCCTCCAGGCCCATGTGTTTTGTGAAACAGCTGGAGATCCCTCAGTATGGCAGCTACCGGCCCAACACAGTGACCACCACGCCTCGAGCGAACCTGGCCAAGGAGCTGGAGAAATACTCCAAGGTGTCATTTGACTATGCAAGCTTCGATGTTCAGGTGTTTGGAAAGCGTATGCTCATTCCAAAGACACCAGGCACCACTGAAACATCACCTAAAGCCTTCAAATGTAAGACACATATACACCACCTGTACATTTGACTTGACCCAAATCAAGGGTAACACAAACACTCTTTAAACCCAGTGTAACTTGTGTGGGAACATTTTGTCATCTGATTTAAATGCAGATAATGTTATATCATTAGAATGTTTAAATTTGAGGCCAGCTAGTCCTAATACAAATCCATTCTCAAAGTAATCATTGAGAATAATAATTTTCATGTATAAATTCACTAAAAATAAGTTCAAACAATAACAACTTCATCAGGCAATAGTCAAAAGTATTTCCATGTATCCTACTCTTGTTTTACCTCATTGTTTGAACGGATCCTGGTAAAATTTGATTATTTCATATCATCACAATATCATAGTTCTCATTCTTTCTCAAAACCAAAACCCACAATTTCTAAGAACATAAATTGAAGACTAAAACATATGATACAAGAGGAAGAGAAGGTGGTGCATTGGTCTGCACTGTCATTTCAAAGGTTCTGGGTTCAAACTGTTTAGATGGTTTCTGTGTGTGGGTTTTCTGCAGGCCTGCAGTCACAGTCTGAAGCCATGCACATTGGAGACTTTAAATTGTCCTTAGGTGTGAATGTGAATGGTTGAATTTGAAGAACACTGAACCTAAAATATATTGTATTTCATTATATATAATATGTAATATAATGCCAACAATACATTTCCTTCTTTATTGCATAAATTGATATTAAAGTTAATCATTTGTGTACATTCATTCATTCATTCATTCATGCAGACATACATCTGGTTTCAGTGTGGTTATTGAGCAGCTGTGGCTCCTTCAGTCCACTTGCCGAAGTGCTCTTGAGCAAGATACTGATACTGACCCTGATCCTGTCAATGTGTGTTGACTTTGAAAGTTGCTAGAGTTAATTTACCTTTACCTAACCATCAGCAGCTGTCAGGCTCCACATAGGTCTGCTCTCTGTCCTTGTTCCAGTAGATTCACTCTGCTCAACTCCCACAGCTAAATCATTCCCCAAGGCCTCCTCCCCCAGTCACAGTATGTCTGGGGGATTTTCCAAGAGCGCCTCATCCTCCAGTGGTTATGACTATAGCCAGGATGCAGAGGCAGCCCACATGGCAGCAACAGCCATCCTCAACTTGTCCACCCGCTGCTGGGAGAGGCCGGAGACTCTCAGTGCCAAGCCCAGGGATCCCTGCACCAAGGTACACAGGTTCCTTTCTTACAGAATCTGCCTCATCTGTGCCCAATGATAGACTCTTATGTTCTGTGTATCTGAACTATGTAGGAATCAGACATTGAAGTGGATGAAAACGGCACTTTGGACCTCAGCATGAAGAAGACCAAGAGGGAGGGCGTGCAGTCTCCAGAGCCTTCATCCTCCTCGTCTTCGTCCTCTCAACACATTGGAGCTACATTGTCTCAGGGCCACACTCAGTCAGAGTGGGAGGGGCCACTAGACTTTACCAAACCAAGTGGACTCAAAGAGGAAGACCATGAAGAGGTACTGCACACATCCAGTGCTGTGTGAATCATACACAATGGTTCTTATCTTTGGATAAGGATTTTTTGGCAATTTGTTTGAGCTACTTGTTTTATCTTTTGTTAGGTGGAGTACACAGCTCCCTCATACACTTCCTCTGATGCTGAGGAAGACCAGGAGAATCTAGAGGACAGGAAGTACCCTGGTGAGGTTACCACCTCCACCTTCAAGGTCAAGTTCCAGCCCAAAGACAGCAAAAAAGACGTTCTTGTGTAAGACACAGCTTTTACCCTACCTCCATTCAAAGCTGGTATAATGAAAGACCATTGTTCCACTTTTCTTTTGTTTGTACATACTTTAATTAGATTGTATTACTCAAACATTGAAATTAAAACATAAACATCATTCAACCAGAATAAAGATTATGAACACTGGTTATTATTCAGGTGAGACAAGCGTCACCCCCTGCAGACGACCGTGGGACAGTCAATCAAACTATTGTATAAAGTATTTCTCCTCAAACCTCATGTTCATTTCATATGAGAGAGACTATAATATACTAGCACTTAAATGAAAGTGGAGCACCTAAGACAACCACCAATTACAGGCAGACAAATTTAGTTGTTAACTCATAAAAGATCTGAGTCGTTCCCATTTCTACCATCCATTTAATATGACCTGAACAGCAGTAGGCTTTGAGTTGCCGCAACTGAAAAAACGAGTCTGAACTGACACTGTAGTATGTTTTTCTGGCACGTCAGTAAAAGCACTATGTCCAAGGCACTGGACTTATCTGTGTGTGTCTTGGCTCTAGATGTCCCACCCCAGGCTGTGATGGCAGTGGACACATTACTGGGAACTACGCGTCACATAGAAGGTATGACCTGCACTGTGACTTGTAAAGGACGATCTCTGCATTTGTGGTATGTGCACTGAAAGATGATTTGTTGAGGTTGGAATATGATGTCATTTTGACCTCTGCTCCTCACACTGATTCTGACTGGATTCAATTTATGAGGAAAAGGAGAGTGACAGCTTTTCCTATTTGAGGAGAGTCCAGCCACGTTAGATGTCTGTCCACTGTTTGTCATTCAGAACTCACTTCACATTGTACATAGTTATGTAGGTGTAGTTAATGTAAGCACTGGATCATATCAACTTATGTTGACAGCACACATGATACTGTATAAGTATGTTATGTAGCCAGGAGATATGGGGGTAACAAGTCCGTGTCTCAAATGGTTGTCCTGCCCAGTCCTCTTCTGGGTCTCTAGTCCAGGTCAGGCTCTGGCTCTTCCCTTCACTCATACTCACACATCCTTTTCACAGTCTGGTTTTCTGACGCTCTCTCTCTAATGTATCTTTCAGTCTGTCAGGCTGTCCTCTTGCCGATAAATCACTTCGGACCCTCATGGCTGCCCACACAGCTGAACTAAAGTATGTCTGCTTCCTCCTGTCTCTCACCTCCAACATGTTCACTGAGTCTGCAGCTACGTCTCTGTCCCTACTCTCCTTTACACACTGATATACAACTTGCTGATATTTCAACCGATTTTAGAGCAGATTTCCAGTCAGATAGTAAAATATTCACAATGTATCCTCACATATTTATCATATTTTGCTCATACCGTGTATGTATGTGTCTAATACTTTGGTTGCGTAAAAGAAGGATTAGTTATTATGGTAAATAAAACTCAACATAATGAAAGAAAATACCATCAAAAAATTGTAAAACAACTTTGCACCTCTGAAAGGTTACTCTTGTTGCTTGAATTTAGCATCTCTGTCATTAGAACATCCAAAGGCTTCGTCAAGTCTGGGATTTTCTTCTGTTTAAACTTGTCAGAACCAGAAACTTGCTGCAATATGGCAGCGGCAGAGACACATCTCATAATCCGGACGTGGCATCTATGTCTATTTACAGTGTTGAGTGACAAACACCATTGTCAACCTGCGGTGTGTTATAAATGAAAGCCTGTAAAGTGAAAGAATGTTTATGTGTGTGTCTCAGGTGTCCAACTCCAGGTTGTGATGGATCGGGCCACATCACTGGAAACTATGCTTCACACAGAAGGTAGAAGCTCCTCTCCTGTTATGCCTGCTGCACATTCAGCTCCTCAGTACTGACAGATGCTGTCACTAACGCCCCCTGTTTCTCTCTCAGTCTGTCTGGTTGCCCTAGAGCCAAGAAGAGCGGAATCAAATCAACCCCAACCAAGGATGACAAGGAAGACTCTGAGCTATTGAGGTGAGCAACAGTAGATCAAAGGCAGAATACCATCAAATATACTGAACACACTCAATCAGTAGTTCAATAATCCTTGATCCTTTGCTTCAACAGGCTTCACATCTTAGTCATCTTGCATGAAGTCTCAACCAAAGCAAAGTGCTCCTTAATTGGATCCTGAATTTAGAAGAAATGCCACTGCTATATTTTGAAAAATAGAACCCAAACTATGTGATTTACTATGTTTTCAGAATGTGATTCATTATTTTCATAGTCTAACATATGTAAAGGGGGAGACAATGCAAATTGTTCTGTGGGAAGATCGAAGACACATAGAATGATAGATTTGTTCGACTGTGATAAAGGGAAATATGTGAAGGTAAAGAAATACATGGATAAGCTTAATTAACTGACATGTCTAATAGAAGGTTAGCCCTTTCATTTTATGTAATAAATCATAGACTCATCAGAGACATATGTCTTGTCTCTCATTTGTCTGAAAGCTTCTAGGAGATTTGCATCTGGTCGCTAAATTAATTCCTGGTGAATTTTTCTTAATCTCTGCTTTCTATCAGAATTCTTAAGCTAAAAGAGCTCATTTGGATTTTATGGCTCGACACTTCCATCTCTGCTAACCATCAATTAGTTGAACCAGTGTTTTCCGCTTGTCTCCAGGTGTCCAGTTCCTGGCTGTGACAGTCTGGGCCACATCAGTGGAAAGTACGCCACTCACCGCAGTGCCTATGGCTGTCCGCTGGCGGCACGTCGGCAGAAGGAAGGTCTTCTTAACGGCACACCCTTCTCTTGGAAGTCCTTCAAGACTGAAGGGCCCACCTGCCCGACGCCAGGCTGTGACGGCTCTGGCCACGCTAACGGCAGTTTCCTGACACACCGCAGGTATCTGGAATGTCTGAGAGTACTCAGAGAGCAGTTTCATGTCAAAATACTATACATTGATCGATTTCATAAGGCAGCATCATGCAGATTACAGGAGGCACACCAGCAAAAACAATCCTCCCTCCTCAAGTTTGACTTGAGGCCTGACAGACATTTAGGTCCAAACCTGGACACCTCCACAAGACACAAGCCCAGGAGGTTTTGTAGCTTCCCTGGGTTTGTCAGCCAGGCTTAGTCAGTTTATACTATGGCAACAGAAAATACCCGTTTGTGATTGTTTCATAGTGGTTTGTCAAAGTGGTTGTTCTTGCCAAGGAATAATGAAACATAGGAAGGTTTTTTCAACAGTGTTCACATTCATTGGTTAAGCAACAAACATTGCTGTTGCTAGTTTTTCCAATTTGGTTGATTTTAAACATGTGTGGATAGACAGTGTTTTTAAGTATTATTACCCTTCGAGGTATGTTAAAAGCAGGTAGCCATAGCAACAATACTGATTCATGCCGTAACCAGTTAGCTTGTAAAACTAAGTAAGCGTGACTTTAATGAATTACAAAAATAGGAGCTCCTTTTCCTTCAGTAAATAACCAGTGAAGTAAAGATATATGTGTGAATGCTGGATTATCAACTGGGCAAAGTGCACAACTGATCTGAAGATCCAGACCGTAAAGTTCACCATATGTGAGATGGTTCAGTAGCTTTATGAGGAAAAACAAGAAAAAAACTCAACAGCCTTCTTATCCCTCTGAATGACGTGTCTTGAGAGATCTTGTTGTCATCCTGTATACAAATACAGATGACAAAGTTTGTGTGTGTCAGCAACGAGAGAGAGCGAGAGCAATCAGGAAGGCCTGAGTAAATCAATGCGCTGCATGCAGAACCACTGTGGGATAATATTTTAATAGAAAAATGTTGCAGTGTTGATATTGTGTCGGTGGCTACAGAAAAAATCAGTGTAAAGAAGATAAGTACCATTTCATTGTGAAAATATAGTGGGTCAGAGGTCAGCTGAGTAGGTCCTTAACATGTGGCCCAGGACACATTTGGGTTCACACTGATGAGGGTCTTCAGGGGGTGATTATCAGCTAATCAGGAGATATACATAACAGTTTAGGGTAAATTGTGTGGTGTAAAGTTTTGTCATGAATACATGTGTTGGAGTGTAAGAGTTCTTGATGTGATCTCCTCTTAGTCTGTCAGGTTGTCCCAGAGCGTTGGCCAACAAGAAGAGAGCCAAGTTCCCTGGAGACGAGTATATCACTGCAAAGTTCAGAGCAAGTGATGGTAAGAGACTGTGTTTCCTTCTGTCTATAGTATGTCACATGTTGTTACATGTTAAATATTATTAACACATTAAAACATGTTTGTAAGGGAGAGTAACATTCAACACATGACATACATTTAAATGCAGTAGACAATTTTACGGAGATGAGGGGGATGCCATCCCCTTTAAACCAAACTGAACTAAAATTCCTCCCCCTCAATAACCTGCTAATTCTACCATCCCATCTCAGCACTCCTCATTCCCTATGAAAGAGTGTTGCATTTGCTGATAGAGAATTGGAAACTCCACATGTAATAAGCGTTTTTTTAAAATTATTATTGGAAATTCCTTTGATGAAATCTAAACTCACATCATTTAAGATATCATCAAACCAGCCTGGTGCTGACCCACCTCTCAAATCTTTGCATTTAAATATCTTGATCAATGGTGTCAGATGCAGCACTTAGATCCAATAATACTGAAATGGAAAAATGCTGTTTTTGTACTGTGGTTGATTTTCACACAACAAGCAAACAGTTATCTGCTGCACACAATGTGTGGTGACAATCCATCCATGTTTTACCGAGTCACACACACACACACAGGTGAAAACAATGCTCTGCTGCCCGCATGGTAATGAAGCAGAAAAATCATCTAGAATCAACAAACAACTTTCGAATTAAAAAATTATCTAATAGCAGTGATCTATAACATAGACATCTAATTACAATGACAAACTAGGACAACATACCTAAACCGACCATTAAAGTTACCATTCCCCCAGTAAAAATATAAAATCGCTTGCTTGTTAAATGTACTTTGTTACCACTAAATGTGGCTCTACTCTTCGTGCCACAGCAGCCATAGTAGCTGGACTGATTTTCTCTTTCCTACCTGTGTGTTGACTCAGTTCTGGACAACGATGAGGACATCAAGCAGCTAAACACGGAGATCAACGATTTGAACGAGTCCAACTCAGAGATGGAGACGGATATGATGAACCTGCACTCTCAGGTGAGCTTAGCTGCTTGGCTCAGTGCACTGCTGCCATCAACATACAGACAAAATACATTTAAATACATGCAGGAGACACCGCTGTGTGATTTATGATGGTTGGAAAAGATAATTTTCCTCTCATGATATCTATCTGACAGCTCATCTATCAATGTGTTGTGAAATCCTTCTGGGTCTTTGTTTAACTCTCTGGACTCTGGCCATCTCTGCTTCAGATCTCTTCAATGGAGAAGAACCTGAAGACCATGGAGGAGGAGAATAAGCAGATTGAGGAAAGGAACGAGGCCTTGTTCCTGGAACTATCTGGCCTGAGTCAGGCCCTGATCCGCAGTCTGGCCAACATTCGCCTGCCCACCATGGTGATAACACACAATGTTTACAATGAGTTGCATCAGTCAGGTAGACTAGGGTGATTTTTTTATTCTGCACGTATCATATTATTATTATTATTATTATTATTATTATTATATTATATCATGTTATTACTTGGGATCAGATAGAAAAAACAATGTTTTCCTCGTTCAGGCAGAAAAATGTGACCTGAGCTGCTCTTAGATCTGGACACAGACCTTCACACTGTGTGTTTGTTCTTTAGAATCACACATAAAATTCTGTTTCTGAATGAGCAGGCAATAACTGGACAGAGTATTTTAAAGTATTTAAATTCTCTGAGACACAGAAATTTATACAAATTTGCAATAGTCAAAATATTTAATATAATATATACAGTCTTTCTAGTGATGCGTTTTAGTATTGAGACTAATTCTTAACTATATATAACCACATACCAGCAAAATATTATAAACAATAAAATAGTATGGTGATTTGAATCATATTAGAAGTGTAGAAAAAAACACAAAGACTGGTTATTTTGCACAAGCATGAAATTCCCTCAGAAGAACAGTTGGTGAATGAGGCCAGTAGACCAATGACAGAGTCAGTGTGGTAATGATTCTATAGAAAAGATCACATCACATCAACATCTTACAAACATCCCTGTCTAACACTAACCATGGCCAGCATCCGCTTTCATGTCTGACAGTCTGTATTCAGTCCAACTCTCAGAGGGAACTTGACACCTGTCCTGACTTGAAACTGAACTTGGGGCTTCAATGTTGTAACTTAAGCTTCTGTGTGATCTGCAAAACAGCAATCTTGTCCCACGTCTGATTCAGCCTTTGTTAGTGGTACTGAATAATTTTAACAATGCCTTTCATCATATACAGTAAATGACAGTAAAAAGACTAAAGACACTACCTTTAATGTAAGAAAGAAAATCCTTACATTTTGCTAGGACATATGTAATTTTTAAAATAAACAAAGAACTCCTAAAAAATATTCTTATGTACTTAAGTACGACAGTTAAGATTCTTCTAATTAATATAATAATTGGAAGGCTTCACAACTCTGACATTTATCGTGAAATGTTTTGCTTACATACAAAGATATGTATATGTATGCACATATATACATACACAAGCGCTAGACCCCACCAGCACGTGTATATTGCTTCAGAGCCCCTTTTAATGGCAGAGTTGCCCATCATCATGGCCCTCAAACCTGAACCCGAGAGCATTAACAGCATTAACAATTAGCATTGTTTGGGGACGGCTGTGGCTGACGGGTCGAGCAGTTATCCTCCAACCAGAAGGTTTGCAGTTCGATCCCCAGTCTTTCCCATCTGCATGCCAAAGTGTCCTTTAGCAAGATGCTGAACACCTCATAGAATAAAAAAGTGCTGCTAATAGATGCACTGTATGAATGTTTGTGTGGATGGGTGAATGGAAAACTGTAGTGTAAAGTGCTTTGAGTGGTCATCAAGACTAGAAAAGCTCTATAAAAATACAAACCATTTACACACACACACGTGTAGTCACTTTTTGGTTGCTATGGAAAAATCAACGCACTGAAAAGAGTAAATTATTGTCATCAATTGACTCAACATTTGTTTTCTGACTTGTGAACTTGTGATCTTGTGTGCGTGTGTTCAGCAGGAGCCGCTGTCAGAGCAGAACTTCGACACCTACGTGGAAACGCTGACCCACATGTTTACCAACAAAGACTGCTACCAGAACCCTGAGAACCGTGCTCTGCTAGAGTCCATCAATCAGGCCGTAAAGGGCATCGAGGTGTGATGGACTGGAAGGCAGGGGGCGGGCTAGGACAGTGTCAACACCACTCTTTCTTTCCAAACACTTACTGTATGTACTTAATTCTTCTCATTTGGAACATTGTCATCTGTTCTTTGCGTTTGTTTCTTGTTTGCATGTTGCTTTACGAAGGTATGAGTGTGAACAGCTTAGAGTGTGTGGTAACACACTGGAATCAAAGTGTTACTGTACGCAGGTGGACACAGACAGGCATAGTGCAGTACACAGCCTGAACTGAGCATACGTTCTTAGTTAGTGAACATATCCCGTTTCCACACAGTAATGTCGATAGTATTCTATATGAGCATAGTGATGTTGCACCTACAAGACTAGTTTGTAGATTTATTCTTTCAATTGCTGTGTAACTATTTAAGTCCT